CAACTTGTAATCCTTTATATTAAATCCTAGCTCTACCTCTGCTACCGTTCTGAATTCTGTTCTTTTAATCTTGATGTTTTTTAGTTTACCAAATTTTTTGCATATATACTGAATTTCTTTTATACTAGTTGATTTTGGTAGATCCCAGATAGTAATATATTTGGTGCGTTCTGTTCTGCTTTCTTCATATTGTTTTTTTTTCTTTTACTTTTAGTTGTATTCACTTTCCTCACTTTCTTCATTTTCTTCCTTCTAAACTTTTAGTTTTTCTGGTTCTAATAAATATTGTAGAAAAATTTTGGTATTTGCAAAAAGCTCTATAATTTCATTATCATCAGTATTAGAATCTTGATTATTAACATCAGATGCACTGATATTAGACTCTTAACAACTAGGAACTCTAGAAATTTCATCTTCCAATATTAAAAAAGGATTCCTATAGGGTTCTAAACTAGAAAAAGTATACAAATAAAATTATTTTATATAACTAGTATCTATTACTATTTTACAATAGATACTAGTAAATATGATTTTTTTTAAAAATTAACTGATACATACCAACAATTTCCTTCTGCTTTCCTTTATTAACTTCTTTTTGCATTTCTTTATTAATTTCTGCTTCTTCTTTACCAACTTTCTTCTGCTTTTTTTTATCAACTTCTTTTTGCATTTCTTTATTAATTTCTGCTTCTTCTTCGCCAACTTTCTTTTGTTTCCTTTATTACTTTCTGCTCCTTCTTTACCAACTTCCTTTTTTGCTCCTTTTTCACCAATTTTCTTTTGCTTTTCTTTATTACTTTTTGCTGTTCACCAACTTTCTTTTGCTTTTCTTTATTAGTTTTTTTAATAATTTTATTAAATGTTACAAAGATTGTTAATTAGACAAATACTTTTTGTCAAATTCAAATTTAATATTTTAATATGATCTTTAGCTGAATTACATCTCGGGATGATAATGGCTGGCTATTTTTAGTTTAGCTAGTCAGCTAAGCCAAAAATAGCCAGCTATTGTCATCTCTAATTACATCTAATTTCACAATAATTATTGCATTGACAGGCCATTTATCTAATATTACACAAGGTAATAATTTACTAATAATATATATACTTATGGCTAACAAAAATGCTAATCCTAACCACTATATAATGTTAGGTAAATGGCTTGTTAGTGAAATGACTATCAGGAAGATAAGAAACAATGCTATATCTGTAGAAAAAGTAGTTCTAATTGGAACTCTTTTTGTTTGAAATCATATATAATAATATGTCTTGTTCAGTAAATTACTAGGCCCAGCAATAGGCTGGTATTCTTCATCTGACTCATCAGAATTATCTTTATTGGAGATTATCAGGAACATCGGGGTTATCATTATTGCTATCGATACTGTCTATATCAGTATCGATATTGGTAGATTAGGATATAAGCCAGGCTGGTGCATTAGGAGATAGTGATGAAGTTCTATCTAATAAACCTGGAGCATTTCTCCAGCGATATCTTGTGCATTTTTTTTTTACAGACAAAAATTCTTTGGCTGACTACAAAATATCTTTCAACTAGATGTAAATTAAAAAAAAATTATTATTATTAAAAAAAAAGAAAATAATAATAATAATAATAATAATAATAATAATAATAATAATAATAATAATAATAATAATA